ATGAAGTGTCTTCTTGAAGAATTGCGGACGGGTATAATATATTCTGAATTGTTGGAGACATTGGTTGTTTTGCTACATTTTCTCGCGCAGAAGCAGCTACATTTATGGCTTTGTCTTCGGATACAATGTCTGCTTCAGACAATATATAATCAGGTATATTTTCTAGTTCAGTTTGTAATTGTTCGATAGGAATAATAGTAATATCTTTATATAAGATATTAACTTGATTAAATAAAGATAAATATTGGTACACAACAAGAGGTCTTACCGTGATAAGTGTTGTATATTGCTCGCACTTGGTTGCAGAATCTCTATAACTCTGTACATCTTTAAATTTTCCTACAATGAGACATTAAGTGTATGTACGAATTCTATATTTGGTAAACTTGTAGCAAATTTCTGTGGACCATCCAGAGGGAAAAAAAATCATATGTCCCATAAGTTTTAAAGATATATTGTCTGTGGTGCAAACTGTAATTGTAATATACTTTTGAAAGGATAGGCGAGTTGTAGTAACATAATCTCCAAGAATGTTGGTTGAGGTAGACTATGTATACGTTTATAGGTTTTCAAATCACCAAGATCGAAACCTTTGCACAAAGAAATTTATAAGGTTTCCCCTTTTTAGCCCCTTGTTCACAATGTGAGCAAAGATCAAATTAGTTCTGATCTCGTATTAAATTTTTATGTAAATAATATATATTATTATGTAATAGCCGGGCCTTCACATTAGACTCCATGCTATAAACGTACTCTTAAGAAGTACGTAAACTATAAACGTACTCTTAATAGCACGACGAACTTAAGTTTTCTAAATGGGGTTTAATGGTTTTATTAATTAATACCTTTTCCATTTTACATATCAGATATTTGGACGAGGTCATTAAAAGGCTCCAGTAAAATACCAAACATAAGAGTTGGTCTAGTTCTATTAATAGAACTATATTTACTTTCCAACTTTATTTATATCTGAATACTTCGGTAGCGACATGGCTCAACCGAATACAGGTTTCTAGGGACTATTAACGTTACCTAGTTGATCCTCCGATCAGCCAACTAGATGTGACAGTCTGATGAAGGCTAAGTCGGTAATTCTTGATAAGTGGCAAGCTATTGGTTAAGACAATAACTAACGACATCAAGAGTATTATTTTTCTTTTTCTAAAGATAGGATTTTATGAGTCTCTCAGAATCGCCCCAATGAAACATACCATAGTTTCTAATAGAGTGACAACGAAACACTAAATATAATCCCTTCGGCAGAAACATTTCTGAGAGGATTATATATAGGCAATGTCTCAGCCTCACAATCCCTCAGAGTATTGCTGTTTTCTCGAGGCATACCTAACTTTACTACGATACTTAGAATTTACCTACGCGCTTATTTACTCTAAGGCATTAATATCGCCTTAATAGACCGAATCTTACAACTACCATCTGTATAATTACTTCTCAGAATATTGGCACGAGTATTATTCTGCTTTTAGCACTGTTGCACATATAATCGGTTATATTACTATGGGGTTTGAGCGAGTTTTCGCATGGTCTCTGCAATTGGGTATACCTACTTGAAGTACAGCTTTTACACTGTACCTTTGAAAGATCCATATTATCAGAATAATTTTGTACACGGTTCTTGATTAATTCCATCGTAATTGGTTTAGGTAAAAGGTTTTCTATTTCATCTTCTGAAAGTGCTATTGGTATGTTACTCAAACCTGTACTTTCATGCAGTCGTTTAAGATTGTGATTTATATCTATTTTATAGTCATTTGTAGGTTGACCATCATTATATATTTCGTCATCATTGCTTCTATTATCTCGACGTCGGTCTTGGGTTGTACGGATATTGCTCCGTGATTGACAGGGTGAATGTAGTGGTTCATTTGATGATGTATTAACATGTGGTATATCTCTAGATGTATTTTGCCGTGGCTCATTGGAGGATGTATTTTGTTCCGTATCATTTGAACAGCATGGTCTGGTGATTGTGGTGCAACTGGTCGTATATGTAGTCTTTGTTTATGATATGATTGTGTATTGTTATATTGTTCACCTTTTGAACATGTCACATGAAATGACAATTTCGCACGAGCAAGGGTTTGCTGCCTTGTATTCATGTTTCTTTTCATCACAGTCACCCATTGCGGTAATTGTTTACGATATACGGTATGAGATTGCGAATCTTTAATATTAATTGCTTTCTTTATTTTCTCTGTATATTGATTACATGTACGAGCATGACTGTGAGCGTCTTTTATCTTCATGTTCATCTTTTGTTCATCGTTCATACTCTGTCTACGTTGTTGCTGACGTATTCTTGCCTGGTATCGGAGTAAATTTTGTTTATTAGTGCGATGTTTTCGTGACCGAGTTTGTTTAGCTGATTGTTGCTTTACTGGATGCTGTAATATGAGCTTTTCATAAACGTTATCCTGTATCGGTACTATAATTTTTCTAGCACGCAATTTATTGGCTAAGTTGTAACCTTGAGAGACACGAGATGATTTCGTATACGCAATCATTTTAGGAAAGCACGTATGGGTACATTTTTAGGTTTTATTAGTAGTGTGTTGTTATTAAGTCCGTGAACTCGTACATCCACCTGATCTTTAGCAAGCGATGCATTTGTGTACACGTAACTATTACCAACCTGTTTAGGTGTCGTATCATCAGAGGAGCATCTTTGCATGTTGGCCTTATGTTTAGGAAAGGAATCATTTATGTACGCAATGGGGTTTACAACCTGTGAAAAACTGAAGTGATTAGGATACTTACTTCATCGATATTTATGAATTGTGGCTGATTTTATGTATGAAAAATAGTATTATATTTCGAGCAAATCATTCCCTGTAGTTTGAAATGTGAATCGTGCAATGTGCATTGGTAATCATGAAACATAAATGTTTACATAGAGCAAATGTGATATTTCTGTTGCATGCCTAATTTCAGACAGATCTGGTCGGAAGATCAGAATATTTGAATTTTTTTAATGAGATATGAAAATATTAACATACCGAGAATATTTACAAGCGTGAACGGAAGTAGAAATGAATAGCTTTGCAAGTCGATTTGACATGCACCTGGGGGAGCAATTTTATGCGCGTGTGTGTATTCATGCGTATGCTTACACACACGTATGTGTTAACCTACGGTGGAGTGTAACATATCCTCCCAGACTGTGCACTCAGAGGATCAGACGTGTAACATAGCACGTACTCTGGGATATAGCATATGTTACACCCCAAAGTAGGTGGTATGACACACATCTGCTCTCCCAGGTGCACACTTTGGGAGGATATGGTAAACCCCACCGTAGGTTAACACATATATGTGTGTACACATATGCGTGTACACACACACGTACAAGAGTAGGTGCTAAATGAAGGTTGACAGAACCGTATGGAATTCTGCAAAAATAAAGAACGCAGAGCCATAAATGATTTAAATCTTTCGTTTTATTATAATTTATAGTACACAGATATTTGTTGTTGAATAGTAGTTGATGTTTGACGGCAGATGGTATTGGATGTTTTGTGTACAAAAATTTAGATCCAATATATGATATCGTTTGTATAAATACTATCATAATGTAGAAATCATTGGACATTGCATGTTTACATCTAACATTTGATACACTATTGTCGGTTCCATAAATCATATGATAGTGTGATATCGCATGGTACGAGACGAATAATAAATTCCAATTACTTTAGGACACTACTTACTACATGATGCGAGACGAATAATATATTTCAATCACTTTAGGATTCAGATACGGTTTCTTGTAAGCCCCCCCCCTCCCCTTCCAATTAGTTTAGGATACAGATACGGTTTAGCTACGTACCCGCCACTACATACTACATGATGCGAGACGAATAATATATTTCAACTACTTTAGGATTTCAATTAAAAACCCCCCTTCCACCTCTACATACTATTTTTATTCACGTGATGCGAGACGAATATTATGTTTCAATTAGTTTAGGTTACATAATCTTTTTTTTATAAACAAAACCCGATTCCACTTATGTTATATGTATTGCCAATTGTTACCCAAAGAATTGACCTTTTACGCTACCCAAAAAATTGGCCTTTTACATTTTAACCTAATTATATCCGTTACGGATTGTATATTTACGTTTCATACGCATACATGCCTGCCAAACTTTAAAAATACCGTGCGCAACGGCTTCTGATTGGTTGTTATCGCTTATTTCGAAGGACTTTTTATTTTCGAACCAAACGCGAATTTGGATAGGGGTCTTTATATACGCAAATAGCGTAACAGACAGACGGACAAAAATGCAATAAAGTCTGGAGGGACTTACAAGCTTACGCGTGATAAATATATCATGGATGTACATATATACAATTGTACATACATATCTATGTATCATAGATATGCTGCACCAAGAAGACACAACTTGAAACACTTTGCAACCACAATTTTTACTATGTATAAAACCGCAATTGGAATAACATGGAGGAAAATCAAGGCTCTGCGTGCACAGTTTCAACAACAATGAGCCAAGAAAAGTCGCTGCAAAGTAACAATCCTATTCTTGTTTTGCGAAGAGTTGTCGCGAGTGGTTTCATTAATTCGGCACAGTTCAACTCACTCTGTTCGTGGACCCTCCCAGTGAGGATTTTACTTCATGGCATATTTATCGGTGCAGCATATGCGGGGTGCGGACTCACTTACAATGAAAACCCCCCGCCACAACTTAGAGAAAATCTTTGGACGTCAAAAAATAGAAGCGCTATCGCGTTTACGGTGGCAGCTGCTGCCTATGCATTGTCCCATGTTTTGGCCACAAGCTACCTCATATAGAAACGTAGATCCTATCCCCTTATCAAGGCCAAAGGCAATGACTTTGCGATAGGCATGTCGGCATCTACCATCTTGAGTGTGCTATTTGTTTCATTAGGCATGCTAACGGCATACATACCTAAGTTGTATCTCCTCCCACATACTTGGTTGTCATATCTGTGCTATTCACTGAGTGTGCTTCTTATACTTTCATCATTGCAATGATGACAGCAAAGCAGAACCTTTTATACAGTATTTTCCATACTAATAAGAGGGTTAATTTTTGCAAGTCCAATTGCCTTCAAGACGAGAATAGTACACAAAGCTTTCAACGATGGCGGCAGGAATATCTGGGTTTGTATGGTATTGAGCATACTGATAGTAGTTGTGTACTCAGATTTACTATATAATTACCTGCATCAGTCCAAGACGAACGGCAATGGATTTTATAAGTCATTCGCATACTTCGTGATTGTATACATGTATTTAGTAGCGTATAGCGAGCATTTTGTTGTGATAGCTTTTCTGGCGATGGAAGGCATAAGCTTGCGTACCGAGTTGTCACCGACAAACACTCTACATTTTGATGACAATTGCATTGGCAATTACGTGTCCCGCGGGGGAAGCCTAGTCATATTATCCCTGAGTACACTCATGAGTACACAAAGCATTGTCTTATCGAAACGAAAGGATATGCTAAACATGATACTGCCGGCATGTGCAGAGTTTATTGCGAACAGCGAAGAAAGAGGCGCATGTTCAGAGTCTATCGCGAACATCGAAGAAAGCGGACAGATGTCTGAAGATATTTCGAGCTCGACCAAATGTCGGACACCTCAACGACGAGTTGCTTGTAGACACCAGCCTATCAATGCGATAGTCCTAAAATGGTTTCAGCTCTAAGATCAATTTTAACCATGGTTGCGTAATAGATTGGAATCCCATGACTGTACTTATCATTTTACTTCGCACATTGTTGATTATAATTCTGGAGTGTGATACTGATCGAAGTATCGTGTATATGGTCAATATTGGCCTAGCGTATATATATATATATATTTATATATATACCTATCTATCTATCTATCTATCTCTATATCTATATATATATATATCTATCTATCTATCTATCTATCTATCTATATATATATAGATATAGATACATATATATATATGTGTATGTATGTATATTCTATATATTCT